TGCCAGCATGGCAGTGGAAGATTGGACCGTGTGATGGGTTTGTGGGTGTGGGGGACAAGATCTTAAACTTTCAACTGGGTGGGGGGGAAACGGGAAGCTTCCAGATTCGGGTTTTCCCAGATGTGCCAACATGGCTGTCTTAATAAATACTTTGCCTTGGACTCTGATTTACTTTTGGATGCTATTTGGAACCCGGACATCTTCCTGCCTGCAGGAGCTTTAGTGAACAGGTGCCCCTCCCCTCTTCTTTGGGGCAACCCCTCAAATATTGGAAAGCTACTATCATGTCACCCCCAAGTCTTTCTTTTCACTGATTAGACATACCCCAAATGCATGGAATTGCTAAGGCTTACCCGATACCGCCTGCTGCGTAATTTCTTCTCCTCTTTCTCCTTAAGCCCTTTGAACGGATTAAGAGAATTCCGATATTCACGCCGCTTGGTCAGGAAGTAGGCCACGCAAGCACCTAAAAGGAGAAAACATCGTCTGTGCGTGAGTTGTGCAGCAATCAGCAATCCAGAAGGCAGAATCAGGGTCTAGACTCGCCAGAGGCCGCTATAAACGCATCTCTGCGTAAACAATTCAACAATTTCAAATATCATCCATCAGTTGCAGACTAAATGCCGGCAGCTGCTGCGAAAGCCGAAGAAAATATTCAGTTTAGCGAAGGACAGAGACGTCATGTTTTTTTTCCCCAGTGGGGCTGGGGGGTAAATTTGGAATGCGGTCAGTCCTCGCCGTACGACCACGATTCCGGTCACAAATTCCCGCTGCTAAGTGAGCCATGTGTTCAAGTGCGGATTTGCTCCGTTTTACGCCATAGTTAAGCAACTGACTGCCGTTATTAAGTGAATCCGGCTTAACATTGACGTTGCTCGTCGAAAAGCGGATCACTTGACCCCCAGGGGCTTTGCAACCGTCATAAATTGGAACCAAGGGCCAAGCGTCTGAATTTGGATGACGTGACCATGGGAACGCTGCAAGGTTGTGGAAAACTGATCCGAAGTCACTTACTTCAGGGATGTTGCAACTACCAACGGTCACTAAATGAAGCATCGTAAGAAGAGGAGTACCTGTACATTCTAGCACCGGAATCCAGAAACCGGAAGGATGGGTTTAAAAACAAAACCCAGCTCACCTTTGAGTTCCTTATCGGTATAATTATGGTGATTGGAGACCAATTCGTGTTTGAGTTTTTCCAGCAAAAACTTCACTACGGAAATATTCCAGGATGATTTAATGCTGGAAAAGAGGGAAGAGAGTAAAATATTCAATGAAGAACTTCAAAAACGGTACTAAAAAATTAGCATAAATCACAATCATCATCAACGACCCCATAATCCATTGCGGAGTGGAGTCTGAGCAACTGAATGGAGCTAACAGAGTGTTTACTGGCCAGCTGCTGTACCTGTCGCCAATGCAGAGTTATATTCAGCAGATATATTCTCATTGTGCTCAGAGAGAGAAATACAGTATCTGCCTCTATCTAAGATCGAACTTGCAGCCTCCTGATTGTGAGGCTAAAGCTCCACCTCCACCACTTTAGCATAAAAGCCCAATAATATCAGTAAAAGACCAATACTCAGAGGTGGTATTCAGCCGGTTCGGACCGGTTCGAATGAACTGGTAGCGGAGATCGCTGGTGGGCCTGATCACCTGTCCTGGCTCTTATGCCATCCTATTTAGTCGTGTTTTTGAGGCCAGGTGCATGAGTGGAAGGCACATGCATGAGCAAAGCGCATGTGCGGAAGGCGTGCACAGAAACAAAATGCATGTGTGGAAGGCTGGGCGCACGCATGGAGGTGCACGCA